TTTGATGATGACTAGTTGCGTTTTGATGATGACTAATTGCGTTTTGATGATGACAAGTTGCGTTTTGATGATGACTAGTTGCGTTTTGATGACTAGTTGCGTTTTGATGACTAGTTGCGTTTTGACGACTACTAGTCGTATTTTGCCTTCTGATCTGATAACGACGACGACTAATCGTGTTTTCATTTCGACTGATCTGATAACGATGACGACTAATCGTGTTTTGCATTTTTGTATAAACCGCCGCCCATAATAGTGGACTTTCACAACCAGGTTCCAGTATACGAGTTCCAATATAGGTAACTCCTACTGATCACTGATCAGCTTTACATCCAGAGAAAAGCAATTTGTATTTCATGGAACTGTAAAACATAATAATTTGTCACCTGTACAATTCCAAATAATAGTTGTAGTTTTATAAATTAATGTGGCCGATATCAGTTGTGTTAAATCTTTCAATTCACCAAACAGTTGAAGTAAATAATTTCATATTTGTTAGTCATTGATATCACGGCCACCTTGTATTAGATACCAATTTAAGTTGTAACTTAGGAATTACGACAAAAACGGGATGGAAACATCAACCAGTGAAAATTAAGTGAGGAAACAATTTTGTTTAATCCGTTTTAACGTCGCTATTATGTTCTGTTTCAGGCTGGGACAAATGTTGAATCTTTTCTGGGAAAAGATGACCGAGGGGGCATTTGTCCACGCACTCCGAGGAGCAGCCAAGCACATCGATGTTGACATAGTTGAATATACTGCGACGGAGAACGTCAACTTTGAAGCTATCGCTGGTAAGTTTATTCATGGCAGATCTTGCATCTTCTGGTTTACTCTCATTATGGATGTAGATTGAAGATAAAGTTTTGTGTTACTTTTCGTTGTGCATAGTAACATTATACAATTTTTCAGAGCCTCTACAAAATGGACGACACTATGTACTGTTCATGGAGTTGTCAGAAAACTCGAACAAAGACCAAGCGAGAATGACTACACAACAGAAGCAGATGGTAAGTGCTTTTGTATTATTTCTTTGTTTTGCATACTTTTTATAAGTGGCAAAAGCTAGTTGGAACTATATCATGTTTTCAGATGTGCGATGTTTGATATAAGTATGAAATGAAAAAGATGCCCTCTTGCTTTCTAATCAGTTTCTGAAAAATGTCTTGAAACTGAAAAACCATTCGAACAGGGGTGCGCCTTACTGTGGTGGCAGTGTTAACAGGCACTCCATTTACAGTCAATACAGTCGATACCAATATATATTTATCTTTATATGTTTTAGTTTGAAGACGTTTTGTACCAAGAACACGAAGTTTACAAGATGCTGAGAGATAATGGAAGTATTCTCCCCATGAAAGTTATCCAAGTGAAGACCGGGGCGTTTAATGCCTTGAAGGACGCCGTAGTGAAAAGCAACCCTCGTACAAGTCGATTACAGTACAAGACACCGCGCGTGCTGAGAGCACCTGATCGTCTGCTGGTTCTGTGGAACTCTCGCCTGTCGTGATGGGTGGGATGCAGCCACTGGTTTAATTTTCTGAGTATTGACCGAGAACACTGCCCACTGGTTAATTGATTTGTCAAGTGCTTATGCAATGTAACTGCAGCTTTCGTTTATATAGATAGATACATTTTGTTGTTGTTGTTGTCGTAGTTGGGCTGTCATTTTAGATATTATCATAATCATCATCATTATCACTACCTATGCTAATTAATTATTTATTAATTTTATACAATGATATCACATTGAACACAATAATTGAACATACTCATTTTGAATTTGAAATGAAACACAGTGAATAGATGATTACATTTTGAAACAGTATACAAATAATAACTACTTTTTCCACTCTTTTAATGAAACGTGGCATTATAATACCTCATTTCAAATGAATGGCGGTAGGACATAGATCAATGACTTGCTGTACATGTACCCCGTGGAGAGATTGCCTATGTTTTTTGGGTTAAAATGCGGCCAAGGACTGCTCTTTTTTACATATAATAGTACACGTGTAACAGGACGATAGCTCTGGTTTGATATTGGTTTATTCTCATGCAAATGTCTGCAAAAATATTATATATAAATCAATTTTAAACAATGACATGAACAAAAATTTTAAAAAGTAAGCCGAAAGACAAAGAAGACAGAAGAAAGAAAAAGAAAAATATAAGAATGCCAAGAACACTATAAATGAGTAAATATATAAATTTAGAAATATGAAATTTAAACCGTAGATTGATCCTTGCTTTGATCTACCGTGTGTAATTACACTCACCTGCAATAGTAGTAGAATAATTATTTCAACTATTCCAGCCTGCAGCATCCGCCTGACTTTCAGGTGCAAGCAGTCTTCAAACCCGTGACATCCACGGAGGCAAACGAACATCCACCGAACACAATTACTACAAACACAACATATTAGGAGATCAAACTTTACACATGTAATAGTATAACATAAGCACATTGATTTACACTTCCTCTGCCAAGCCCATAACAGATACCATTAGCAAAATATCAGGACTGCTAAAATTTGCTGCAGTATAGCTGCACATTAGCAGCAACAAAATATTCTTGCAAACTTTTAGTGTAATACATTCACCTGGACTCTAATGTAAAGTAGTTTACGGTACGTGTGTCCGATTGGGGTGCAGTTCTCACACAGGAGGATTTTATACGGAGAAAGACAAAAACCATATGCAGGGCCAATCGATGTCACGGTTTCTGTACCCTAAAGTTGCTTAACCACGCGTCTGACGCCGTAAACGAACAGGGTGACCATTGCGTTCATAAAATACCAACACTGTTCTACAATCGTATGAACATTACCTTGGTTTTAAATGTAAATTCTTATAGCGGTGGTATATGAAAACGTTCAAGTTAGACGCCTCTTGTTTGTAGCATTATGTAGACCTTGTCAAGCTCAACGCTGACAGTTGTGTCGCTTTTTTTCATATGGTTTAAGAGTTGCACTATTTAAAATGGTGAAAAGAAAATTTTAAAATGAAATCTTAAATACTCCAAAATGGCTGAGGTACACTCATATTACTATTAAACATAAATATGACAAATGTGACCTTGAACTTGGCATTTGATCTACTTTCACACTTAAACTGGACTTTGCAAATATTTCAACCGTGCCTTTTTCAGAACTAGCAGAGATAAACCCATATTTACCATTGAATATAAATAAATAGGAAATCATATATTGCACTCCTTAATGTAACCTTGAATTTGACCTTTCAGTTTCACATACATGTACTGTACTTTCAACCTGAAATGCAGTTTGCCAATTTTATTGTTCTTTTATCTCCAAAACTCGCAGATGTACTCTTATAGTCACTTCTGAACTTGATTAGGAAGCCGTGTTTTCGGAATCTTAATGTGACCTTGAGATTGACCTTTGACCTATTTTGGAGGTTTATCCCGCTCTGATCCTCTAGTTTATACCTGGCGTCACTACCCTTATTGCTTTAATCGTAGCTGCGACACTTTACTGCACGTGGTGTTCTATCAGCATGACCTGGATATGTACACACGGGTACAAATACATCCACCAGGTTAAGAGTGATGTACCAATTCAGCAACGCCATTCAGTAAACTTCGTCTATATGTAAATGTACTTATTATGCTTATTTTGCTGTGCTGCAGGCAAGACATCGAACAGGGACTCAAGTGACTTGAATATTCTTAAAACTATTATCTTTCGTTGACGAACTGAGACGGTTTATTAACAAGACGTTCCAAACTACCAGAATGCTCTCTATTGGCACCAAGTTCCTGGTGGTGAGCCAGGTTTTTACAGTGGTGACATTGCACCAAGTCATCAACTTGTACCAAAACTGGAAGGACACGAGTGCTTGGCAGGCTGTTTTCAGGGGTAGGCCTTCTAGTAGCGTGTACATGTGCTAGTAAAACGTGTCCACATTGCTTTACGTTATTCTCTTCCAAGGCCACATGCTTATTTATACCGAGTATTTAATATATTCCTCTGGCCAATTTAATATTTTATTTTACGCTTTAATTATTTACGCTGTACAGAGAATTGTTTCTCCTTTGGCTTAGAAATAACATCTCATCATGCATTCACCTGGCCTCTTATAGAGAGTAGCTCTACGTTACGTTTGTCGGATTGGGATTTTAAACTCACTCAAGCAAGTAGAGGAGAAGGTTAGATGGAGAAATACAAATTCTTATGCAGGTTCAATTGGTGTCCCGGTTACTGAACCCTGAAGTCGCTTTATCAAGTGTCTGACGTTGTTCAGTGAGGGGGTTCCATATCAAACCAACACTGTACTGCACATTCATGGCGGTACCCGCACGAAAACGCAGTAGATACAATATACAAAGATGTCGTATGGTTTGCAGAGCACATCTACCTTGGTTTTGAACTTAAGTTTAAATGGTAGTGGTGTACAGGTATGTGTCCCGTAAACGGTGCATATCATGGACTGTAATAATTAAAAAAGAAGATGTTAAGGAAACTGCTTGCAGTAATCCTAAAACAATGTTTATTTCATGCCCAATTGTCATCGGCTTACTATAATCTACAAAGGCATATTTGAATTTCATATTTCTATAACACTGTAGTGTTATCTTCAGTCGGTGTTGTACAATTTACCTTCAAATCAAATCTAAATCAATAAAAAAGTCTTTTCACAGAAATACACAGATGATAAATATTTAGTTTTAGTTTTAGTTCCTCCTGTCCAACGTAGGACATTGGGCGGCAAACTTTTTCCAACTTGTCCGGTCGGCAGCGGCCTTCTCTATCTCCTCCCACCTGATGTTGCTTCTTTGCAGATCATTCTGGAAGGTTCTCCTCCAGGTTATCCTCGGTCTACCTCGTTTGCGCTTGCCTACCGGTGGTACCCAAGTCATAGCGGTTTTTGCATGCCTCTCAGCTGGTAGTCGAATGATGTGTCCTGCCAATTTTATCCGACGAATGGTGACTGTTTCATGTAATGGTCTTGACTTTGCCTTCCTAATCACTTCTTCATTGATGATATGGTCTCTGTATGAGATCTTCATTATTCGGCGTAGGCACCTCTGATGAAAAACATCCAATCTTTTGTCCACTTTCACAGTGCTTTTCCATGCTTCGCTAGCATAAAGTACAGTTGGTAGTACTACGGCGTTATAAAGGCGTATTTTCAGCTGTGTGCTTATTGTTGCCGATTTCCAGATATTGTTCATTTTTCTAAACACTGAAGCTCCTTTACCGACTCTGCTTTTGACATCCATTTCAGCATCACCATTCTTGGTTATCAGGCTTCCTAGGTATGTGAATCGCGTTACTTCCTCAATTGGTTCAGTCCCAACATTTATTGGTGTAATGTTTCTAGCTCCCACGTACATCACTTTGGTATTTTCAGTGCTAATTCTCAATCCAAATCTGCAAGCTGCTATTTCCAGATTGGACGTTAGTTGTTGTAGACCATTTTCATCCTTTGCTAGCAAGGCGATGTCGTCTGCAAAGTCTAGATCATTCAGTTCACTACCGTTTACCCATTTCACACCGGTTCCATCTTCTACTGTAGCCTTCCTCATTACAAAATCTACTACCATAAGGAATAAAAAAGGCGTGAAATGCACCCCTGTCTGACACCCGTCATGATGTTGAAGAACTCTGTTGTTCCCGTCTCTGTTCTCACACAGCATCTTGAATTCTGGTAGATGCTTTTGAAGATGTTGATAAAATTTTCTGGGACACCGTATAACTCTGCTACCTGCCACAATGACTGTCTGTGAACGCTGTCAAATGCCTTTTTAAAGTCAGCAAAGTTGACAGCTAGAGGGTATTGATGTTCTATGCATTCTTCCAAGATGTTACGTAGAGTGAAAATCTGTTCGATACACAATCTTCCTACTCTGAATCCTGCCTGTTCCTCTCGGAGTCTCACGTCGACTGTATTTCTCAACCTCTGTAGGAGGATCCTAGTCAGGACTTTACCTGGGATGGATAATAAGGTGATTCCACGCCAATTGTTGCAGTCTGACAAATCACCCTTTTTCGGCTAAATATAAATAATATTTATGATAAATATACACACTTTTAAATTTGACAGAAAGGGGAGACCTATTGATGACTCTTAAACAGTGAAAATACTGGTAGTTTAGTTTTATTATTATCATTTGTCTCTTCTGCTTCCTCCCACCAAACACATACACCATGGGTAGTCTGGTTCAAGACAGTCCAAGGTCAAATTAAGCGTTACAATGTGTACACTGTAACCTTCCTACTTGGGCATGGCATGATGGCTGATAATTAAGACACGCCTAATAGATTTTTTGCAAGCAGGAATCCGTATGATCTACAGGGGGTAATATACTGTTCACAGTCCATATTACCCAAAACATTCTGACATTTTAGATTTAATCATTAATTTTCACTTTTATCACTATATGAATAAATCTTCTTTTTAATTTTCCTTTTTATGTACAGACACAGATGTGTCTGTACATATAGCCGTCATCTGCGTCTGTCGTCGCCGTCGCCGTCGTCGCCGTCGTCGCCGTGCACTTTTACCGATAACACGANATCAATGTCAATGTCTATTTTATTATTATTATTATTTTATTTATTTATTTTTTTTTGCATTTGAACGGCCGTTGACCTTAACATTTCAAGGTCTAGATTGCTGTGTTGATGAAACATCAAAAGTCTTAAATACAATATGATGTGAGGTGGGGACTTATAAAGGTTGGGACATTTTCTTGGATATTTAAAAGAATTAAAGATGCACAATGTCCATTAGATATTTGAAAATGTCATTGTATTTAGGTGCTTTCAATGGCCGTGACAGGACGGGTCTGGCTGTGGATCCCATCACTCCTAACATGGTCGTCTGCTGCTGTGTCAATGGAAAGGTAAGAGAGGGAATACTGTAGTTCTTTATGCCATCAGTCTGTTAATCCAATGGGTTTCATTTATTAGGATAAAATTTTCTACATTTGTTCAGATGACATGCTTTGGTATAAAAAAATGAATGATTACATTTTAAATAGTTCTACAAATTGTTATTGTTTGACTCAAGAATTTGATTTGGTAAATTTGCTCAGCCCTTTTTTTAAATAAAATTAATACAAGAGTGAACCCAGGCAAGTATGTTAATATTTCCTCAAATGTAGCATCTCCCCTCAAGCAAGCGGAAATTAGAAATAGACCATTTTTTTCTCAGTTTTCTCAATACTTCAATGGTAAGTCTTCACCAATACTAAAACTGAATCTTTGGGGATTAGAGATGTTGCTGAGAAAAAAAATTGTCTCAGACTGTGCGCTAAGTGGTTGGCAGCTATACAGACATTCACTTGTGATCTGTTAACACAGGTTATAGTGTGTCGCACAGTAAGTCTGATTACAGACGGCCCTATTGACAAATGAAAATTGATTGCATTACACCCTGCATAGAGGTTAAAAGCTCCACATCTGTGAACATGCTGCTGCACTGAGGTGAATGGTATGGGAATTGAGCTCCCTGACACTTTGTGGCTGCTTTGAATTACTTATAAATGGCAGGTAACCTAGAAACTATTGGAAAACGTTTTTCTAAGAACTGACGAGATCAATACTGCTTCATCAAAATAGAGACCAATTTGCCCAATGTGTTAAACTTCATGAAACGGGAGGCTCATAATTACAGTTAGATGAAGTTAAGGTTTCATCAGCTGTCATTTTGCATTTTCATATCTCTACAAATATGTAATCATTATTTGGCCTGCACCTTGATGACTTCACGTGTGAAATTAACACATTTTAAGTTAGATTTTGTCAAAGAAAAAGTGTGACTTGATGGTCCAGAATTGTTATTTGCATTATTTGAAGTGCAGCATTACTGCATTTATTGAAGTAATACAAGTGTGAAATCATATGACAAATAGAAATATACCTTTTAATAGACAGGACAAATTGTCTTATTCTCAGTTCAGTATATAGAGAAATATGATCCCCCCAAGACCATCACATGGCAAATGTGATGAGATAGTAAAAAGTAGACTTTGTTTCAATTATGATTTTGAAATGACTGCTTGTTCCTTAACCCTGAAAATCAATTATCTTATTGAAAGTAATATTATTGGTTCAGAGATTTTTGGGATTTACGTCGCCTGTGAATTCATGTAATTACCAATCAAATAATGACAACAAGGCTAAATAAAATGCCCATTTTTTGCACCTTTTGCTAACTTTAGCACCTTCTATCAATGTCAAGGCCCGTTGGTTTTATAGCACGGCCACCCTGTAATAAATGGTCATGTATTTGTCTATCATTATGCAATATCAAACCGATTATAGACTGCCGATGAAATAAAAGTTACTTTATAAGCCTCTTTTCAGGATCAGCGTCTAGTCTACTAAAAGTCTTGGAATGGTCTTGTAGTGATGTTGCAGTGGTTTCAGTGGGCGTAGTGCATGCAATATATTGGATTACGTATGTTCATGCTGAATTTTCTTTGCCATTGCAGGGTCTTAGTCTCTTTGATCTCAGAATGCCATTACCTTTGGACTTATTGTATGATGTGAGTATTATGAAAATAATTAACAATTTTTTCTTTGAAATCTGATTTTATATGCTATAATCCAGTGACAGTTTCAAATAGACATAATAAAGATATTTACACAACAGTACTAACTGAAGGAAACTAGTATCAAGATCATTTTTTTATTGAAAAAGTTGATTGCATTATTTTATTTATTGATTTTAAAACAGGGATGAGATTTTTTGGACTGTCAGCAAATTTCGGACTTTTTTGGACCCAAAATTATCATTGCCCTGGCCACCACACCATATTTTCTGAATTTTTCACTACATGGCAGTCTTATCCCTGTTTAAATCCTGTTTTCCTTCTAGTTTGATATTGATTTTGCTCTTTTATTCAGTGGACAAACTGATGATTTGATTTGATTCCAGTTTCATGTAAGAAATACACCGATGAAAATCACTGAGGATATTGTTTTACATTTTATTGACATCTCTGGTCTTTTTATTGATGTTTTTGGGTTCTGACATTTAAAGACTGGTCTTGGTTTGAGTGCGTGAATTTAATAGGTAAATAGATAGTGTTGTAGGTGTAGATTTGAATGAGATTAAGTGATATCTATTGAACATTTATGATCAGTGAAATCCTATTTTTGGTGATAACAAGTTAACTTCTGCCTTTGAAGTGAACTTGTTTTGGAATACTTGAATGGCTTTTAAGGTATCAGTTGATTTTGGTTGGATTTGCATATAAACATTCTTTTCTCAAAGCATACAATGTTGATAGCCAAAATGAGTTTCAATTATCTCACTGCCACCATAAGTTTTGGAGAATTACCACATTTGAATATGTGACATTGGTAGAATACTCTTACTTTAAGGGATCTTGGATATTAACGAAAAACTCCAAAACTAATGCAGCTAATGAAATTTCCTATTAACTTAAAGATAAGGTCTAGCAAGCCAAACAATTTTTCAAAGTTTGTAGTCACAGTGTAACACGAGTGACGTAATATCAGCGTTTTGAGGCTAAAATTGTCTTTTTTTTAATCAAGAATTTCTCTTAAACGAAAAGCCCTATTAATACGATTGAAATAGCTATCTAAAAGTTAGCACAAACTCCAGTGATCTCTGTCAGGATTTTCTCTTTTTATTTTTGCTTTTGATTTTATTTTGATAAAACGTGAATTTTACGAAATATATATGGACCTTCCAATTTCAGTATTAATAACATCAAAAATAAAAGGTCAATCCAAAAACCAAGACTCAGTCGACTAGATATTATACTGAAACCGAGACACATCAAATTTCATGTCAATCTGACAGTTACAGAATGAGATATGGGTATTGAAGTTTAGACTATGTTATCAATCTTCAAAGCTGAGAAATCGCTCCTAAACCATTTTGCTCAGGTAATTGGGCTATTTAAGCAAAATAATTGCACCTCCACCTTACCTGTTATCATCTTGTTGATCGGGAAGGTCTATACACCATTACGTGTTAAAATTGGGTTGTTTGTTTCTATCTAGATGCCAGAAAATCTTACTTTTGTACGCAAACTTATTCGTACCACGAAAGCCGCTCTTCCCTGAGAAATGATTGACAGCTGAGTAGGTCTACCTTCTCTCGTTTCACTGACGTAATTAATCATAATTGTGCCTGACGCAGTAGGAGTCTGTGCACTGTCTAGGAAGTGTCTAAGGAAGCGCTTACAAACAAAAAGAGGATTACTTGGTGTGCCAGCAGAGGAAATTTGCCACCCGTCGTGCGTGGACGCCGCTCTACACACCAAGACACGAAAATTGAGAAAGCAAAGCAAGATTTACTCCGAGAAATGGCCGAATGTGGGTACGCATATGCCATGATGCCACAGAGTGCCAAGACCGTAATATGCGAATTTGAAAATGTTTTGGGTGGCAATATTACTTAAAAACTTGCTTGCTATTACAATCTTTATTGTGCATAAAATGATTGCCTAACGATTTTTTTCTGACAACCCCAGACGTTGTACGAATACTCAGCAGTTCAAGTGTGATCTCGAGTCTTTACCTAGACGTGATTTAGACGCTATAGTAGAAAATTTAATATATCGTACACTCTCTTTCAAAATTCTCTTGTTTTCCTCGCTCATCCGTTTTCTCACGACTTTCTTTCTTCCCATGACTGTTTATATAACTGTGTTCTGCTTAGCTGACGTAAGACTTATGAGCTGCCAGGGCACGCGTAACAGCTTAAGAAGTTAGACAACCATTCTTGCCCCGCCCCCCATAGTAACGGTGCTTGACAACGGAGGCGGAGCCTAAAGCCTGCCACCCGTACCAGTCAGGACAGGTAGAAAAACTCGTCCAAATGTATATTTTTAGTCCGTGTTTCACAAATATAACTTAATTGAGTATTAGATACAAAATTGATTATTTCTAACTTATAAAAAACTAAAAATCGAGTTTTAGACGTATTTTTAATATCCTAGACCCCTTAAGACCCTATGTATGCCAGTTTCTTTATTTTCGATGTCCAAATTGAGAGATATATTTATGCTTATCAGACTGAATTGCAAACAGACAAAGCAGCTGCCAATCCATTAATTTAAACTTTGATCAGTTCACACAATATGCCAGCCTCTTTTTTTTCTTCATGTATGTATTGAGAACTTTGACTGACAGAAAAAAATGTAGTTTGGTTGCAATGATACCTTGAATGCTTTGTAATTATAATATTCACTCTGTTTGTCTAGGTTCATCATGGGATAATCAGAGATATAGCATTCTTACATGGCAGCTGGCCCTGGGGGAGAGGAGAGAGGACACTCATGACAGTGGCTGCAGATGGAGTGTGTAAAGTAAGTGAAAGTAAGGTATAAGCGGTTGGGTGTCAAATTATCAGATTTTTATTCAGTAAATATTACTTCATACAAAGGTGCTTTTGATTTGAGATGCTAATTGTTACTGCTAAGTAGCAAAAACCCCAAAGATGCAAACGTAAATTTAAATTCCATCCTAACAGATAATACATATGCATGTATACAAACAACCAGGCCTGTCTACTCCCATGTAAGATAACAGACTTCTAATCTCAGCAATAAGGAAATTAAACAATTTTCAAAAAAAAAAAAAAAAAAGAAATTATCCTGCCCCCTTCCCAAGAAAACTACCTATCTTTCGGAAGACCCAGAGACCTAATTTAGTCCATTACTTTTTCTGACATCCCTTAGCAAAATAAAAAGTTTGTAGCAACAAGTTTGCAGGAGTTTGTTAGAAAAAATTATTGCTGGTAATTTGCAGTCATATTACAGCAAATTTGCTGCAAATTTGCAGAAAGGAATTGCAGTTTGCAGCAATATTGCAGCAAATTTAATGCAAATTTGCAGTAGGCCTGATATTTTGCTGAGGAATGTTTTTTTTTATCAGGCCGTGACTTTATAATAATAATAATAAAGGTTTATTGTGTTCTTTGCAATATGTAAGACATATATTGAATGTATATGTATAAAAGTATAAAGATGTAGTATTAAAATAGAGCTTTAAGATAAATTTTAAATGATAAAAACAATAATGAGGTTAAAAATGGTGATTCGTTGTTCTTTTCAAAAGCTAAAAGTTCATGGATAGACCTTGATCATTGACACGTATATAAACAGTATGGGATAAAAGTGTTTCTATGGCTTCAAATATCTCTATCTTTGATGTCCATGCAGTTTGTACAACCCTGTACAACTGACCAGTTATTATATTTTTACATTGGATTTCTGTACATCGGATACTCTCTCTCTTCCCAAGGTGGTGACCCTAGATGGCCGTACTCTCCATGCCGTCCACACAAACCAGTCCCTGAACACAGTGGCCCCCACACCAGAGACATATGGCTCAGCTGTTGATGATGGTTTCACTAGTAAGTTCTGTCTGTTAAAAGTCTGTTCAGATGGCTTCATAATCAGAACCCCTTGTTTGCTACATTTACTTCATGCTCTACAGAACAACATGAAACAAAGATCTCCTTCCTTTTGGTGTTGATTATATTACGTCTTCGTGCCTTTTTCATGTTATATTGAATTAAATCAGGTTTGGTGATTGTCCATAGTGTATGTTATACTGAAATAAATCAGGTTTAGTGATTGTCCATAGTATATGTTATATTTAAATAAATCAGGTTTGGTGATTGTCCATAGTGTATAAATTTTAAATATATTCCCAGGTTTGGTGATGCTTGGAGGAGAGAACATCAGTGCTTACATTCCAGAATGTGGTGTGCAGGAAAAACTCAAGGACAATAAACTGGACGCTCCCATATGGAAACTCAGGTATAAGATTGTCTCTACTTTAATAACTTTTTGTATGAGATTGCCAACCACAGTGAACTTTTAGGAAATTTTTTGCTGCATATAATATAACTACACGTTATAAGAAGTGTTTGAAAGTACCTACAAGTCTATAGCAACCTTTCTAGAATAACAACATGGTCAAGACCAGGGACAAGGCTCACCCTTTGAACCAAAAAAAAGATAGAGATATTTGAAGCCTTAAATACCACCAGAAATAAGACTCTGACTTAAATATAGCTCTTACAGGCATGAAAAAATTCTGCTGCTTGAATGATTTTCCCTGCAGTGCAGCCAAGAAGGTCTATATGTCATAAATAAATATAAGTTAAGCTTCTTTTTAATGTCTAAAACCCAATCTTATCCTCTTACATTTTGTCTTCCAACAGAGTCACAATTTTACATATGATCAAGAAACATGTTGCTTCCTCAGAATACAAAATATGGAAAATCAATCCCATCTTTTTCTGAGACAGCCTCAAACATTTTAATCACCCTTCATATATTATTTTAGAATTGTTGATAATACTTAATTGGATGTATTTATTATTGATATCAGGTATACGTCTAATGGTAGTCAGCTGTTCTCAGCGTGTGATGAGGGGGTGGTAAGGAGGTATAGGAGGTGGCCGGACCATCACCAGTACCTGGGAGAGGTGTTCAGACATAAGAATGACATCGAAGATATGGACATATCGCCCTATGATGAATGTATCCTTTTGAAGAATGTGATTTTGATTTGAATGGCATTTTATGCTTTCATCAATTAATATTTAAATTTGTAAAATAACAAACCAGCAATAAGGATTTAAGTATTATGAAGACAGCTATGCAATATTTTTAAGGATTATAATAAATGTATCACTTTTATGCTGATGTTGTGAAAGCCTGGACGCAATTTATTATACAGTAAGGGGAGAGGGGTTCAGAATAGTTTTCAGTCTGTTCAGTTGAAGAAAGACACTTAACTTTGTTCAGATCTTGTGACCTCATCGAAGGACCGCTCAGTTGGAGTGTATAAACTTGGACCACCCAATCATGGAGTATCCGAATACTGGGAGCTCACATGAGGGGTGGGCAGCATTTCATTGAAGATCCTGTGGTATGACCTTTGACCATTGTGGGATTGCCATGTATAGATGGAGCAAGTGCTGTCTTCCTCTTACAGTGATTACACGACATTGTGGCCAGTATGTGGACACAGGAGATCTCTGTATGAACCATGTTACTTTAATTCATCTGATCCCCAAATTTGTGTCCTCCTTTAATAAATTGAACATAAACATGCTATGGGGGGGGGGGGGGAGTATATGATACAAAAATTTTTGGAGAAAGTAGCTGTTTCCAAATGAACTTGCGAAGTGGTAAGAATAATAATTAAGAGCCTAGAGAGAGAGCAGCAGAAGTGGGACCAACATACCTGGAAGTGATTTTTCTGTGGAAAAAAAGAAGAAAAAATGATTTGCATTTAGCTGGAATGGCCTGTCAAAACCTGAAATGTTAACACTCAAGTCTTATGATCTGATTGTGCCTCATTAATGTTTTGAGAACTGTCCAGGCAAGGCCGAGTTTTTGGTACATTGTTTATGGAAACAGTATTATTTACAGAATAACTATGAAGTTTAGGAAGAAGATTGCAGAGTTGTTAGACAATTACCGTCTCCATGGCTTCTATAAATCTGGGACATCTGGGATGCAGCATCCACTGTTGAAAGGATTGATATCTTAAAATGGAGCCCATTTCATACTTCAGTTAAATGCTGCTTTATATTGAACGGATACCCTTAGGTTTACTCAGAAGTTAACACAGCTTATTAAAGCTATATTTTGTAGTATTCATTTGTTTATTTATTTATTTTATCTTTGTGAGGAGGGTATAAAGACATTCCACTTGACTGAATCAATATGAATATATTTATATATTTTTACAATGCAGTATATTTGCTTCAAAATTTTTACAAATCTTGGATAAGTTGAGGCAAACAGTTTAAAGCAATGTTGTAGTTTAACAAAATTATTTCATTTTCACATGTAAAATTTGGCATTGGGCTGATAGTTTTAGCAGAGAATGGATTTTTTATCTTAATTCAATAGAAAAACTTCAATTTTGATTAATAACTTGAAGTTTGTTTAATTATAAGAATATTATTTTGCTAAGAATAGCTGGAACCTGATAGTAATCATTTCTGTTTACAGCAATATTGTGTGCAATAAAATCTTTTGTTCAGCTCCAGTAAGTCAAAAAATTGAAATCTTCCAGATGCAATGTTTCAAGTATATACATAAAAAAATACAGGTAATTAGTGGGACACTAAACAAAGTCTAGTGCTGAGGTTTTACAGAATCAGCATGGATTATTTTTGGAAATTGTTACAAATTCAGCAGTGATTATCTTCCAGTTGTGTGTGTATATTTTTCTTTCACATAAAACAGTTACCCAAACTTACATCAGTAACATACCAACTTATTCTTTTCATGTAGCTACCATTTTTAAAAAAATAAAACAAAATTCATCCACGTTTGTCCATTTTTTACTTATTATTACTTATTACTGTTGTACACACCTTGTATTGCACCAGATTCACAAATTATGGCTAATTTGAATGATTTACTATTCGATTTTTTAAAGAGCATTTTAGTTATTTTCAAAATTAAAACTTAAGCCTCATCTGAAGGTACCATATTATGCAAATCTGGCACCTTATGCTATGAAAAATATGACAATTGATGTATCTTCAATATTACCCAAAAATCCTAATACTTACGTAATGTTTGCCAAATGCCATACTTAATTTACTTTGACTCAAACATGTATCCAGCTCAGGTTTTTAATATGGGGGAAGTAACAATCTGTCATCAGTTTGAAGAAAACCTGTAATCTGTATAAAAGAAGTACGTACCAGTCCCCTGTAATCCTGAAAGACCCTAACTCTAGTTTAGCCCATTTTAATTTGTTCACTTGGGCCCTTGGACATGTGAATTCACAATTCCTTCATAGATGGTTTTCAAATTACACCATAAAGGTTTTTAACTTTGAAACTAGCAAGGTTCTGACAGCTTATGCTTATTAGGCTTTTCGTGTGAAATTTTTTTCTCAGCTGGGTTAAATAGATCTAAATTATCTTTGAACATCCTACAGTCTGTAATGTAGGTCATGCCACTGGTATGTCTTGTACAGTAGCAAACACACACTTAGGACATGCCATAGGAATATAGCCTTTCTTCTTGTAATACTGTGATAGCAACATTGCACTATTATTGAGTGGCAGACGACCTTTAGTGAGGTCATTAGACAACTGGGTCAGGGTCGTATCTAAAAACATCTTTTCAGTGAAGTTGTGTCCACACGTGAAAAGCACTGCCCTGACTGGCTGAGGGGAGCTAGAAACCTCTTCGTTGGTTTGTAGAAAAGATGGCCTTGCTGCAGTGAGATATTCTATCTCATTAGTGGACATTGTTATATGGCTCCTCTTTTCCACATCTTTGCTGAGGTTCTGAAGGATCTCCTGCCAGAGTTTGTCTATTGGTATAAGATTTTGTTCTGGCTCCACCTTCAGTCCAGCTGTCTCACCTGACAAGATCTGACAGTATTCTTCACAACCTTGACCTACAAACAAAAAATAGAAAAAAAATTGGAAAAAATTATAAGATTACAATGCTGCTTCTTACCTGTACATAAAATGTTTATCATTTGTTACCCGGGTTATCACACACACAGATAGAAGAGTGCATAGAAAGACCTCCTAGTTATATATTAAAACTATACAAAGAGCTGTATACTACATCTATATACTAGTTTATACAATCTAAAATACAACAGTATAACATTTAGCAAAATGTTTTTAGTTCATTCTTGGATAAAAGAGAACACTTTTCAGAGGTTTTCAACCTTGGAGGTCTTTCCACAGAGTGACAAACTGGATGGACATTGGAATGAGACTAAATATCAAAAGCTTATAATTTATTTGTAAACAATAAGTACCTTTTTCTATTCGGTTCACTACATTTGCTGTCAGACCGAGAAGAAACTTGGTAGAGAATTGTTTTTTGATCTCTTCTGGAATATTGCCAAGTTTAGGATCAGTCGATACTTCATCCTCATTCAACTCACTGTTTTCTCTGAAATTTAAAATCAGTAGCTGTAATAGTTTTGGCTTAGTCTTTTTACCACACCATTGATTGGCACATACAGACCCGTGTCAACTGGCATTAAATATAAAACACCACTGTCAAATTTTTCACTGAAACAAAAATGCTACATTTAGTACTTGAAAGGTAAAACTTGGACAAATCAAGATTAATTTCAAAGTATATTTTAAAATGATGATTCTAAGAAATATTTAATAATTCATTTTGAAACAATCTTCCCATTCAAGCACCTTTCATATTCAATTTGCTACTAAAAGGAAAATACTTGATACAGTGTTCATTTTCTCATTCAGACTGGAAATAGTTGAACCCACAGTGTGCACCAAGTAGAAGTTGAATATCTGTGCTCAAAATCAGGTTAACTAGTGATGTCAGTTAGATTTTTTTTCTCATCCAAGTTAACCCAGTTGTGAACATGACCTCCAGTTGCCTTGGTTACCTGATGGCCATTAAGCTGAGAGGGTATGCAATTTGGTCCATGTGTGAATTCAGCAAGGACTCCAAGTCTGAGACTGGCAACTTCTGGCGGTCCCAAAAATCAAACACCTAGAAGGGACGAGTTATAATTTTGTAAAAGTTTGTAAACGCGATATTCTAAAGATAGACCAACGACTTTCTTTTTCAAAACAAATATTGTGATACAAAAAGCATGTTATAATTTCAGAGAAACATTTTCATTACTTCTAACAGTAAATTTAATTGTCGATATTTACCTGTCATAAAATCAGTTTAATTTTAAGATTTTGCTTACGTGTCCTAATGTCTGTCTTATGGTCTCCTTAGCTGGCTCCCTCTGGTAGTGGTTCTGATGAAGACCACTGCACATAAATAACATTAATATTCTAAATACGTTTAAACAATATCTTACACTGATAGTTACAGACCGAGCCTAGGACAAATATTTGAGCATTTATCGTTGGACTATACATATATTCAGCCGTAAGTCTAGGAACTGCCTAAGGCGCTATCAAAACTCAATTTAATATCATGGACAGAACTCTGATTTAAAGGATAAATCTGTAGAAACCAAATTGTCAATGAATTTTATTTGCTAACATGATTCATCTATTTAACTTACAAACTTACATAAATTGCAAAACTCCAAAATGATATACTGTCAACAATTAAAAAGATTAACATCTTTTTCTCTTTTCTTAGCACTTATCCCAATCATTAACCAGGCCCATAGCCAGCAATTTGAAAAGGGGGGTTCGTTTTCTGAAAAAGTGGACCTTTTCCCATGAAAACTTCATGTATCTAGATCATATTTTACCCAGTGGACCTTTTCCCAGCAAAAGGGGCGGTTCTTTAGAACCCCCTGAACTCCCCTCCTGGCTACAGGCCTGTTAACTTGGTTTGTGTAAGCCTACCTAGATAAGCTGACATGCTTCAGGTAAAAAGTGATAATCCTTGCTGCAGTTTGACACATATTCTCCACCTGTCCAGCACACTGGGACAGCCATCTTAGACGGTAGTATAGCGCCTGCATTGGGGGGAAATCTTGATCAATTATATTGTTTCTGATGTAGTTTTGCAGCACATTTCATAAATACATTCAAAACCCAAACAAATTGGTTTCACCACTGATACTTAAAATTAACACACACATGCAGTTATCTTGGCCAAAATTCCTAACTGCTCCTGTCACAAATTTTAAATCTAATTATTTATAGCTAATTAGAAAGAAATACCAAAAGAAATTAACTTTAAATTTAGGGCAGGTAGCTTGAAGCCACATATTGTTTATCTGATTACCAGAACTGCATCATAAATATATTAAATAAATCAAATAAAATGAAAATCGTATGATAGAACTTTATACAAATACACTGATATTCAATGTGAAATGTAAGAGATAGCACGTAAGGGAAAAATCAAGGCATAAAATTTGTCTCTCTTTTCAATTACAATTTTGTTGAGTTATCTTCAAATACTCATACTGACCTTAAAGTCAACATGACCTCGACACCAGGTTGACCTTACCTGCGAGTAGAGCCCCCCTGACTGGCAGACATCTGCTGCAGACTGACAGTCCTCATGATCTATGCACATCCGCAACAATTTTGTAGGTTCACAGAAACTAGACATATGCTGAAAAAAATGTCTGATTTAAAGGACTACTATCTTTGTAAAAACTTCATTCATCACAATACTTATGTCTTTTCTGAAAGCGTATTCTTTGATAGGTTTTTGATCATGTAAGTATGCTGCAGTAATATCATATTATTATGTAAATGTATAAATTATTACAACTGCTTATTCTTATGTCAGGTGTCACCAAATTGTCATGCATGTAACTAACTAAAACTTATTTTAATTGTTCTGAGTGGAAAAATATGTTTCTCAAAATATCAAAACTTCTGCTTTTAATTTCATTGAAAAAAGTAATTTAAGACAGAGGATAAAAATCAACAGCAACAAACAATTCACCTTCAAGACAACAGCAATGACCTGGGAACCATACGGAGGATCAACAACAGTTGACAGGTTTGGGATCTCCAAGGAATCGCTGACATCCTCATAGCAGTCATCAGACCACTGCAAACATAACTAGATCATTTTATAAGTGAAGTATACCTGCTGTGAATATTAGGATTCACTTGTTACTTTTTCCAAGTAAAGATAAACAGCATTTCAATGATCACAAATATCTTTTTAACAGGAACTTTTAAAAGAAACGATTTTATAGATACCAATTTGCTAAATATACAGTTCAAACTTCTGTAGAATGATAAAACCCCCATATAATGTGTCCATCAAGTGACATCAATTCATCTAACTTCAGTCCAAGATAGTCCAGGTTTGAGCACCCTTTCCTGTTCACCTACCCAGTCTGAACTGTCATGGCTGTGTTTTCTCTTGGTCTTGGGCATTAAAAGTTTCCTGCTAAGAATGGTCAGAGATGGGAACCCTTTCAGCTGAGTGGGCACCAAGAATTCCCTCTCAAAACCCCCAGAGCTGCGGTCTCTGGAATGTTTGGGTCGTCTGTTGGAGTATTTGCTGGTTGATTCCAAATGTTCTGACCATCCCAGCTGTAAATGAGAAAAGAATATCAATTCATTACAATTTTACAATTTGCAAACTGGGTTATCATGAGGCATTTTTTATCACTTTGCTCCATGAAACCATTAAAATGTTTGCAAAGGTATTAATTAAAAGTTTTGGCATCCCTTAAAATATTATCTGAGCTGAGGGCAAAACACTGGCACTTCCGGATCTTGTTTTTTATAGTTAAAACTATATTTACTGTCTACTTATTTACCATTCTTCCTATCTTACTCTAATTCATAGTTTACATAAATGTTAAATGCATGAAGTGTACAATGTATTCACGGTTTACAAGATTTTTGCCATTCACTATCCTACACAGTCATGCATCACAAGTCACTGAGATAAATCATTTATTTAAGTTCACACCAAATCTTTCCTTCATAAGACCAATAACATAAAAACACTAAACAGGCCATGTGTGTCTTTCAAAGGAATTTCTCAATTTATTTCATTATCAGCATAACTAATAAGACAGAAATGCTTTTAATTCATTACCTGTCCTGTGTCATTTCTTCCCCAGCTGTAGACCGCACCCTCAGAATCCAGAGCAATGGCGAACTCTGCTCCACAGCAGACGTGAACGATCTTCTTGTCATTCACAGACACTACCATGGTGGGCTGCGTCTGGAAGAACATAACAATGAGAAATTCCAATCATTATGTCAATTAACTAAAAAAGTATTGTAAGTAATTCTGAGTACCAGACCTCTAAAAGTGGTCCAATCACCAGTACCTTAATTTTCATGGAGTTTTACAATGGACATATGTAAACATTATCCACCTGTCTAGACAAAAGACAGACCATACATCTAGAACATTAACTCCAAAGTCTTTAACTTATGAGTCTACACAATCTCCTTCAATTCAGGTTGATATATAAAAATATCTACTGATACATCAAATTTTCATGATAACAACTTATGAGATTTCACTTTGATACCAAAACTACACTGACCTGTTCCATTTTACTTCCTAAGCCAAGCTGGCCATCATAGTTCTTTCCCCAGGAATACATCTCCCCATCCTGGGTTATCATCACACTGTGGTTATTGCCACAGGAGACCTAGAGTTAACAATATCACAACTTCAGTATAACCTGTCTCAGATATAGGAGCATGTTATAAGATGTAAATACCTACTTGTTCACAATAATTGAATTCCTGTTTTTTGACAGTTTACCCAAAATCACATATTTTTTCTCAACTTTCTTGCTCTAAAAACAGAATATCTCTATAAAGAGGCAAATTCCTATCACACCTGTGCTGTAGTATTGAACTTGGTGTGGAATGAAGTGAGACACTAATACAGAGACTATCATTATCATGAAAAGCTTTTTAATATAACCACAACCTAATATTATGCACATATACACCATTAAGCAGTCAATTTATCAAGAACCAGGAATAGGACTTTAAAAATTAAATAACAACTTGAAAATTCAAAAAACAAGTCACACAACCAGGTTTTTCTGGGTACATTACCTGTACAATTTTATCAAACACCATAGTGGTATCAACCAGCTGAGGCAACAGGTGTTTGGGGATGTCAGGAGGCCGCTGAGGACCCCCATGTACAGACCCTGTGGCACTCATACGCTGTCGTCGTGTCAGGTGAGCCATGTAGCGCAAGACTTGGGGGCTGGCACCCCACACATAGACTTGGTTGTCTATTGTAACTGCTATCTATAAAAACAATGAAACAATGAGCAGACTTGGGAGCAGTTAGAATCAACACATGTCGCTCTTTTTTCTTTCCCCTTTATACCACCAAGTGACGGCTAGATAATATTCTACCTCACATTCATTAGACAAGAAAATTTTTTGGTCAGCCTATAATTTTAGTTTATAATCAAATTGTAACAGGTCTGGATTTGACAGTTTAACAATTCTGAAATTGCTAGTATCTGAGCACCTTAATTAAAAAAAAAACATATCTGATCAATTGGTTAAAAAAATCACTTGAAAAGCCTGTCAGTGCTTATTTTTTCCAACTGCTAGACTAGTGTTTTACCACTGCAATGTAAATTATGTCAAATCTAGACAAATGCTTGGGTGGAAAAGCTCCGGAAGAATTTTCGTGACAATGGAGACCTATTGACATTTATATTATGAATCATTTACAGCTAAAAAGATACTCGGACCACTGACCAGTCCAGGCCTGTACTTACATTGTGAAAGTATTTGGTGGCCACAGTGTGGACAGGTTCTGGAATTCCATTCACTTTGATTGGAAAGGTTCGTTTCTCTGTCTTGGCATGTCCAAGCTGTCCAAACATCCCACAGCCAAATGTGTACACTTCACCCTGGGGGTTAAAATCAGTATAATCAATGAGAAATTCTAAGTATGATGTACCATAAAAAAGTTATCAACAACTGTTCTTAAAAATAGCAAGGAATCTTCAAGGATACTTGCAGGCATACATCTTATTTTCACAATAATTATAGTTATAACAACTGGAGGACAAAAATTTCCAAATGGCATTAAAGACTTCTTTTTTAACTTCATATCCATTGAAAGTTTGTGAGTACTGTTTATACAAAACCCCTAACTGCAGTTAGGTCCCTTGAAAACCCTGTTTGACATGATGTTTCAGAACAATGTTTACATGTTAAAAGTTCATTCAAAATCTAAAATACATTATTTTATTCATAATCCTCCTACTTTACATCTAAATTACTACTTGCCCTAGCAATGCAGAGCTCTGTGTGACTATAACACTTACCCTAGCTGTACAGACCACAGAGTGACTATAACACTTATCTTAGCTGTGCAGACCATGGAGTGACTATAACACTTACCCTAGCCGTGCAGACCATGGAGTGACTATAACACTTACCCTAGCTGTGCAGACCACAGAGTGACTATAACACTTATCTTAGCTGTGCAGACCATGGAGTGACTATAACACTTACCCTAGCCGTGCAGACCACAGAGTGACTATAACACTTACCCTAGCTGTGCAGACCACTGAGTGACTATAACCAGCTGATATCCTGGTCACTTGTTTGTCATTCAAGGCCTGGATGTTGGTTGGTATCAGACAGTCCTCCACATTACCATGCCCCAGATTTCCATGGACTCCCCACCCCCAAGTGAACACCCTGAAATAATGTGCATATATGCAGAATTCATTTTGGTCAAATTGAAGCTCATTTGCTTGAAGATGCCATTAAAATTGCAATATTCTGAGACATTTTCTCTTAAATCTACATAAAGCAAAATTACCAACTGAAATTGTTTTAAAGACACATGGATTCATACAATTCTTCACTGTAGATATGAAAATATAAGATACTTTGTTTTACAATAACAATATGATCTGACATAAAGCAGAGCATCCCATTATAAATACTGTGCCTGTACCTGCCATCTGCTGCCAGTGCCATGGAATGATACTGACCACATGACACACTCACAAACTGGACATCCTGGACACTGTCCAGTAACATGGGTCGAGTGTACTTTTGTCTCTGACCAGCACCCACCTGGCCATACTGTGAGCTGCCCCAACTGTACAGCTGGAAATAACAGCAGTTTTTACAATATTCATCTTTATAAAATTATATTAACCAGGTTGATAGTTGAGCACAGTTTATGAATATTTATTGGATTTCACTTTAATTAATAAATATGAATAAATAGATTAATGTTACCTTGAAAGAAAAATGCTACACCAGCATTAAATAGATTAACAACTGCGTAAAAGAAAACCATGTTTCCCAATTATTTTAACCAATTTGAATGACATTGTCCTTATTAGGACAATACTAGGATAACCTACCCCCTGACTGAACAACACTTGGGTGACCTATGTCCTGATTGGACAACACTGAGGAACCCTACCCCTTAATTGGAAAACATTAGGATTACCTTACACAGCCCTTGATTGGACAACACTCATTTAACTTACCCCCTGATTGGACAATACTAGGGTGTGCTGAGCTCCACAAGACACTGAGACAACCTGTATCTTCAGCATGTGCAGTGTCTCCACTCTCTGTACTTGTGACAGCCCATGTGGTGTGGTGATGTCTCCATGGCCCAGCCTACAACAAAACAAAGATAAACATGGGTTTATGATTAAATCTCATACTGGAGGTTAGGTTTGAAATGAACATCTATATGTTTGAGGTCCCCATTCCTGACAACAAAACTTACCTGCCATGGTCAGTGTTTCCCCAGGTGTACAGGTCCCCATTCCTGGTCAGAGTACTTACCTGCCATGGTCAGTGTTTCCCCAGGTGTACAGGTCACCATTCCTGGCCAGAGTACTTACCTGCCATGGTCAGTGTTTCCCCAGGTGTACAGATCACCATTCCTGGCCAGAGTACTTACCTGCCATGGTCAGTGTTTCCCCAGGTATACAGGTCACCATTCCTGACCAGAGTACTTACCTGCCATGGTCAGTGTTTCCCCAGGTGTACAGGTCACCATTCCTCGCCAGAGCGCTGTGGTTCTGACCACATCCAATAGCTGCCGGCTGCAGAGTCAGAAGTCGTGGCTTCTTGGAAAAACTTGTTTCTAAATCCTGAATGACAAAATTGCTACTTTATGGTATTTTGCAGTGATACAACATGAACTTTATATAAAAACTGTTTTGAATCCATGAACAAACGAAATGCCTGATATGAGCTAAACATGGGATAAAAGCAAACCACCCATTTTCCTTACTTAATACTTACATCACTTTCTGCCTCATATGACATGTCCTCCTCTAAGAAATCAGTGCTAAACTTTGGCTGTCTGTGTTTCTCATTCAAGTGCAGTACAACCAGGATAAAAAAATGAACCAATTCTGACACACTCGGCATCGTGACATCCTGAACAGTAAACAATAAAAAGAGATATATATTTCCCTTTTATATATCAATCAAAATGGTGTAATAATGTTGGTTAAAAAGAATCATATTAAGGTTAAATAATGTGTACAGTTAATACAAAGCAAACTAACTTTCTTCATTTTATAAAATTTACTTTGCAAAATATAACACTGTATGGTTGATTTGCAGTTTAAAATGCGGCAAAGACATCTAATCTACTTAAAAATCCCTCCATGATTCTTGCATCTGGATGTCCTTTAAACAAATAATATAAATTGTACATTAAAATTTGTTTGCTCCTAATAAATAAATACAAATGTTTTGGAATTTTTTACATGAAATTTACAGAAGATCATATGTATTCTATGACTGAAATAGCTAACACTTACTCCAGCACTCTCGCTGTGATCACTCATTGAAGATACAGAGGACATGAAAGATGACATGCTGGATACACTATGGGATCTGCAAGGAAATGACAACAGTGCACTTTAACTTAAACTGGAAATAATCACATAAGAAATAAAATTCAACTACTATTATGGTCAATAATCTAGTCTGTTCAAGTGAAATTATATTTAATTAAACATAACATTTTTGTATGACAAAAGTTGTAATGAAATTAATAAATAAAGCTGTGGAAAAGTGCTTAATACACATTGAGAGTGAGAAAGTAGAGAACAATATTTTACAGCACCTCCTGTTCTTCCTCCTCCCCCATCCCTCGTTGTCCAGTTCTTTGGCCATTATCTCTCTGACCACTTGTTTGGAAGGGTCAAACAGCTGAGCCACCTGCAGCAGTGTGTTCAAGTCCATACTGGACAAAGCAATGGACAGCTGAGGCACGAACTGCATGGCCAGCTGAGGTTTCTCCAGAAGAAAGTTGACAAAGTCTTCTGTTGACATGCACCTTAAGAAAGTACCTATAGAGCAAATGTTTTGAGACTCTCAATATATCATATGGTGAGAATACATTAATAAAGTAATTAAAAACATTTTACACTTAGTTTACTCAAAAAGTTTAGTCCCCTGAAATGTATGCTCTTGTGTGCAGACTTGGGGGCAATTGGAAAAATTTAATCCACTTTTATAGGTAAATAATTGGCAGAAAGGCATCTTCCATTCACTACATTTTATGTGCATTCAAAAGAGAGATTTATCAAATGAATCTGTCAAAAACTATAATTTCTTAAAGAGAGAATATATTAAAAACATTTCTTTCCAGAAAGAATTTTAAATAATTATTCACCATCTCTGACCCTGGCTAGATGTATGGACACTCCCTTCTGAGCCAGGATGTCCAGCTGTGGGGTGGTGAAGGTCACATGACCCTGCTGGACCAGCAGCTCCAAGGCATCTCCTATCAGACCACGACTCTGAAAACACACAGCACTGTCAACTCCATAATCAAGGGCACCATTTCATTTTTTAAAAAATCCACTGGGATTTCATCATGGTTCACTTAGCTGATTTCACTGTATTTCATAAAGTATCTGTAATAAACTCTCTGATAATAGAAAAGCTATAGCATTGAAAGGCTTACTCTTAGCTGATTTCACTGTATTTCATAAAGTATCTGTAATAAACTCTCTGATATTAGAAAAGCTATAGCATTGAAAGGCTTACTCTTAGCTGATTTCACTGTATTTCATAAAGTATCTGTAATAAACTCTCTGATAATAGAAAAGCTATAGCATTGAAAGGCAGATGCTTTATCTAAAATACGACTCCAAAAAAAGAGGATATTTTGACTTCCTTTAACAAACTTAAGGGTGTTTTGACTTCCATGTCTGTAACTTAAAACATTATCCTACCTTGGCCAGTTCAAAGAGCAAGTCCATCAAGTTGTGCATTGACAGCAAGGTGAGAGCAGTCATCTCATCATAGGAGAAACTGCTCAGCAAGAAGTCCCTGAAAGTAGTTCTGTTATGATATTTCTTTTTTTCCAAAGGTCTTAAAATGAATACTGAAATTCCTAAATCTTAGACTGCCAGTAGTTTTCATTTAAATATTAGTCCAAAATCAGGAAAATTAATTGTGAGTTAGAATTTTAATTCTTAAAAGAACTGCAAGAACACTAAATTGTACAAACATCCTTCTTTCCAGTAAATGAACCAAGAATAACAAGCTGTGTTTTATAGTAGACCACTTCTACTTACTCTGTCCATGGAAGTATTTTCGAAATACATAGCACTTACGGCCGTAGTCTCAAAAATATTCATAACAAACATCTGTGTACCATCTCAAGATCTCTTAACTGTCACACAGAATACCTGAGTGCCTGAACAAGACCCTTGTCCTTCCCATTGGATGTCACTATCTGGTGCACATAACAGTGGAGTGCCATGTCCGCCAGCTGCTTCTTCTCCGACGTGTTCAGATCCAAGCTCCGATTACCAAGAACCTGTTTCAGATAGTTCATGACCTCTGGGATGCGGCCGTAGTGGGCAAAGTTGGCAACTCTCTTGATGTATGGACACTGAAAATGTTTTAACCTTTATTATGTGGCAGAATAGAATGTTATGCTGAAATTATTTATATAATAATTTTGATGAACACTATATCCCAAAAGCTTTATATTCATTTTCATAGAAAAATTTTTGTGAAAAGAGAAATAGTCATTCATTTTAATAGAAAATTTTTTGTGAAAAGAGAAATTGTCATTTATTCCAAACTCTGCTGAGTGAAATATAAAACAAAATGAACAGATATACATATTTGTTAAGAATTCTTTACATCCAGTACCTTGGACAACTGGTACAACCTAATAGAATGTACAAAGTCCCCCCTGGCCAGCCTGTACTCTGCAGCCAGCTCATAGAGCATGTTGATGTCCAAGCTCAGCATGATGCCCAGCAGCTCCGTCTGGTGGGAGTCCGAGGTCGTGAGCGCTAAGTCCAGGAAATACCTCTCTGGAGATACCCTAGAACATACAAATTATTCCATTGTATTCTCTGTGGCCTTAAGTTTATTCTGGGCATGTGTCAAGTATTAATTGCATAACTAAAGTCTAAATGTCTTGCTGGCAGAATTAAATAGATTTAAATAGCTTTTATTTTAAACCCTTTGTTCAAATATGCCACAAAATACATGTATGATGACCAACCTAATTACAGTTACATATAACTGGCACTGCCACAAGTCAATACAGTCATGTATTACTCTGTTATTAGCATTACCTGGGTCTGCATTCATAAGCCCCATCCTGTGTTACCACAATACAACCATCCAACACAGTGTGGGTTGATATCTGGATACTGTAGGCAGCACTTAGCTCTACAGCCTCAAGCTCAGACTTGGGTTTCTCTTGGGATGTGCCACCTGATCTTCTTTTGTTTGCATCTGTGGCCAATTTTTCATCTTTCTTAACAAACTCCCTGCTGGATGCAGAGGCGGACTTCTGCAAGAGCTCCTCTTCCCGCTTTTCATGCCAGTAAAAGGGATAAGATCTCTTAAAAACTGCCACAATGCTTTCACTTGCTGGAAATCCAAAGGCCTGGACTATGGCATCCTTGTTAAAGTTCTAGTAAAGAAAATATAAAAGTGCAATTATTATATAAATTCCCTTTGAAAAAAATGAGATGTAAATGAAAGCTCGCTATTTGAAGAAAAACAATTTGAACAAAATAATTTGGATTCTGAATCAATCATAATAAGTTGCATTCACTGCATGCCTTTCTTGTGTATCAAAATATTTATTTAGCATGAACCATATCAAGCCCGTAGCCAGAAAATTCAACAGGGGTTTTTTTTCTGAAAAAGTGGACCTTTTACAATGAAACTTACCCTGTATGTGTACCTAGATAAAATTTTACCCAAAATGGACCTTTTCCTGACAAAAGAGGCAGTTCTTTCGAACCCCCCCCCCCCCTGGCTATGGGCCTGCATATTTTTGTATTTGGATATACTGGGAACTTACTATATGATCGTCAAGGGAAGTCTCTGACATCTGATTGGACAAGAGCATCAGCTGTGTTTTCCCATCAGCCATCTGGGTCATGAACATGAGCTTGTCTGTCAGGAGTAAATTTTCTGTGTTTGCTGGAATCTTATACACAAACAGGGGGTTGTGCTCTAAATTACTGTCATAAACCTGTAGATGGAAAATTATTATCATTTATAATAAAGCAGCAAAAGTAATTATTATAAGATGGACAATGTTCTATTTTCATCTTACATCGTATACAACATATAAACGAAGTAACAATGTTTAGGCCACACTTGTTTATTTTTATGGATGACATCCTCTGGGGACACCGAAATCGGTGCGAGAGGGCAAAAAAAAAAAAAAAAAAAAGTCCAAAAAAAAAAAAGGCTGCTTAAGTAAAGGAATGCTGTCAGTACACAGCTGGAAACACAAATTTTACC